ATGTAATTAAGAATAATCAATAATTAGTGTACACGTAGACACTATTAGCCAAATAATAATTAGTGTTGCAGAAAAATAAACTCATGACAAAAGCGGCTATAACTAATAGAAGTTGGTCGAATAACCCTGGAACGTATAAATGGGCATGCATTGGTAACCTGTCCATCAGTTATTAACCTAGCAAATCTAAACATTATTTCAAACATTTGTTTGTTTATTTAAGCAGTTAAAATCAGCTGTAAAATATTCAAAAACCAAATGAATATCAGGTGAAATAAGTGAGGACTAAAGCAGTTTTACTATACTTTGTATCATTTAATTATAGTTTACAAGTTGGTTTCTTAATACAGACTAAGTTAATAAAATTAAACAAGCAAAAACAGTAACATTTTGTCATCTAGACCAAATATAGATTAAACTGAGTTACATTTTTACATAAGATACTATAGCTGACATACTTCGATGGGATACATATAAATATAAAAAGGACTAATATTAAATCACTTCAAATAAGCTTGATCAGTGTAGTCAATAGTATGAAAGAATATTGTTCATATCACATAGATTTTCTAAGATCATAAACGATAGATTTACGGCTTGGAATGGATTTATTCAACTTTTGATTATCTCTTAACAATAACAGGAACAATAACGGGGCGGATTTGCATGCATATAGCATATATTATCTCTTAAAGAAGTAAAACACGAGGTGAATATTAATTCAAATTTTCTCAAAAAAATGTCACTAAAATTCTCATTTTAATTCAGTCAAAACTAATTTCTAATACCATGAGAAGGGTTTTTCATAATATCAAAAGTTGAGATCATGAGTTGATTGAAGCTAGATCACCATGGACAACCTGGAAGCACTGGACGGCCATTTCGTCCTATTGTGTGACTCCTCAGCAGTGCGCACCCATGACCCCGCACCTCGAGGGATTCGAACTCAGGATCTATCAGTCTCGCTCGCGGGTGCTTAATAATATTTTGTTTCACTAAAAATAAGACGCAATATTCATGTTTAAGCTAACTTTTTTTAATAATGGATTTGTTAAAAAAGTTTGAAATTGTTATATTATTAAATATATAATACATAATGGGAAAAAAAGGGACTGTAATTTTTAAAAAGGACATACAATTATGCACTAGAACATATTTCATTTGCTGAATTAGTGGAAAGAAAAAAAGAACTAAGTGATGAATTTTCAAGAATTGCATTTGTACATACGTGTACAAATGTAATAAATGACATAAGAGAATGAACTTAGTGGAATTCGAATTCTAAATTAACTTTTAGTAATTCACAAGCAAGAAAATCTACCCTTTCAGATAACTAAAGAAGTATCAAAAGTACCAAATTTTTTTAATACTGATTAATTGTGAAAAATGCAGTGCATTCGCTAGTCTAAGTGACCTGACAAAGATAGAATTTGATCAGCACTTAAAGAACTAAATAAACATAACAATGGTCACTACTTATTGAACAATCGATTGTAAATATCTTAGTTCTACATGAGGTTAACGAAGCCCCAAATAATCGTGTTAACTTCGTAGATTGTGATACTGTGTGACGATTGAATCTACTAGAGAGCATTTTTCATTTTAAAACTATAGATGTGTCTTTCTGAGGAGTGTTAAATAGCAAAAAATTCAAGATTCAGGGTTTCCTGTTGACTACTTCCAAATCTCGATTATCTTCCTTCTTTTGCTAATTTAAGCACACACAATAACCGTTGTGTTAGTTCTGTCTCCTATCATTAACTTAAAATCATAATTCAGTAAAATATAGAAATAAAATGAATGATAGTAGGCCACCAGTGGTAATGCCAATTTTACTGTTTACAACAATGTATCACATGACCAAAGAATATAGGTAACTAGAACAGTGGGAGCTACATGTAGTCAAAATCTCATTTATTTTCGACATCAATTTAATATTTTGATTTTCACTTAAATTGACAAAATTATCACAAATTAAATACATGGATTATTTTTCATCTTAAATAAATGATTATTATCAGAAGGGGGTTTTGTAGAAATTTTATTAATTTAATAGTTGAATTCATGAGTCGATTAAGGCTAGAAAACCATAGAAAACCAGGAAGCATTGGACAGCTATTTCTTTCTAGTATGAGCCTCCTCAACAGTGTACACTCACGACCCCGCCTCGCGAGATTTCAACCCAGGACCTATTGGTGTAAAATCTCTACAAAACCTTCTGATAATACTTATCATGTGCTCACTAATGACTGCCTTCAAGAGGTAATTCCTGGAGTCCTAGTGAGAAACCGTGATCAGTGGAGTTCAAGCAGGTCTGTTGTGAGATAGCAACTCACTAAAGACAATGGTGGATGGTGGCGCAATTTTGTAGATTGACTGAAGTTAGACATTTAAAGCTTGGATGATGGCTCAGTGGTCTACAGGTTAAGCGTTCGCTCACGAGACCGATAAACTCTAAGTTCAAATCTTGCGAGAGGGATCGTGGATGCGCACTGCTGAGGAGGCCCATAATAGAACGAAACGGCCGTCCAGTGCTTTCAGGTTTTCATGGTGGTCTAGCTTTAGTTGACTCATGAATTCAAATATTAAATTAAATTGACGAATGGTATATTTTATATGTTTTAGGTAATCGTGAATCAAGTATTTTTAGTGAAAATTAAAATAAACAATCTTTCGTTTCTTCCATATCTCACTGTTGTGAAATTGATGAAATAAATAGTAGATTAATCAAAAAAGACCAATTCAAAGGAAATCTTCCAATGTTTTTGTGCCAACACCAATTGCCAGTATCATAAACTACTTCATATTGTTTAATTATCTACTAGTTTTCTTAATTATTTCAATTTAAATGCAGAAATCTACTTGTGAAAGAAGAAACAGTGAATTCTCGGTACTAACACATAGGTATTCTGAGATAATTTATGTAAAACGTTGCGATTTAATATTTGTTTACACAAAAATAAATAGAAGTAGCCTATTTCTATTAATCCAGTGGTCGTATCATCAAAGTAAAAAATGAAAACCACAATATTATTTTAATGTGTTCCCAGTTTGTAGAAACGATGAGTTTTTAAATCGGTTTGAATAGTATAAAATAGATTTATGACTTTCCTAAATTCTGTAAATACATAGTAAAAGTAAATTTTAAATGGCGACAATAGTATGATTACTGTTGTTAGAATATTTATTTCCCAAACTTTGTAAATACAACAACAAAAATTAACTGTAAAATAAACAATGTAATATTCTAACCACAAGTTAATCAGCTTATATGATTAAAATGATTATAAAACTAATATATATAAATATAAAAAGAGAATTATTGTAAAGGAGTACATTTTTCTACGTTAAAAACATTTTGTTGACTATCTTGGTTTGAAGACTGTCAAGTTTATTCAGTCAGTTTGTTTACTCCGTTCAGTAATTATGGTTTATTAAACTACATCATATTATACGCTACACTTGTTTATATGGATTAGCTAGATTTCAGATCGCTCTTTATCTAGGATTAACAACACTTAGAAAACTATTAAAAACAAGAGAAAATTGAATAGCTATGAGACAGAGTTAACCATTTCGGATGAGAGACACATATCCTTTATTAGTATAGGAGATTTGCGGAGAAGGTAGTATTTTTATTTCTTAAAACACGAACTATTTTTAGCTAAACCACCATTAAAAGCCTGAATAACCGTTCCTTCTAGTGTAGGACGCTTCAAGAGTGTGTATTCACGATTTTGCAAGCAAGAATGGGACCCAGGACATCTGATCTCACGCGTGAACGTCTTACATTCAGATCAATGAGCTGACATCAAATTATGTTAGTGTCTAACTTCAACCACTTGTGACTCCGAATAATTGTAACAGAATACCGCAAATCTAATATATTTGGAAATCTGAATTTTTGAGAACCTACCCAGAAAATGAGAAAGATCAACCTTTGAATGAGAACAAGAAACTATTGTCTCACAGGTGGGTGTTGTCAGAGAGTTCTAAATTAGGACAAAACGTACATCTACAGCTTTTTAGTTTCATACTATTATTATTATTATTATTATTATTATTATTATTATTATTATTATTATTATTATTATTATTATTATTATTATTAGCTTTATTCAATATTATATTTTTGGTACAATATGGGATTCTTAGCGCAAAGTATTTCAACAAGTTTCCGTTTCTTTCTTCTTGGTCGGTCCTGGCGATAAATATTGAGTAATCGCCAGTTAGATGTTGGTAGTTCAGTAAATGAACATCTGAATAATGTGCATTCTTTTCATTGTATATTGCCAGCAACCACATTGTCTCTTATTGAGTTTTTTGTAACTTTGACAACGAAAGGTCGTACACTTTTCAGAAACGCAGCAGAATAAGTTATGCGATTAATAAACATAATGATATATTAAAACAAACAAAAATAGATAACTTGTTGAAATATCTAAATGGCAGGAACAGGTAGCCCAGATGCTCAAGCAGGCCGCCTTTAGTGCTCATTAGTTAAAAAGAAGTTTAGTCAAGCAGAATTTAAATGAAGTCTGACACAATCCAAATCATTTTATTAATCAATAAAAGTTTTGTATATAAAAAGATTATACTCAGTCGGAGTCAAATAAGACATAGAGGGATTCACTTTTATTCTTCGTATCCTACCAATAGAGAAACAGATATGATTTTATGTACAGACTTTTGGATTAATAATATGGGTTTCAGCTCAAGTTTATACATATGACGTCTTTGTGTTAGCAGAAACAAGACTTATTTTTCAGTTGGTTATTTTTCCTTTTGGTAAATGACAGAGAACACAAACTGACAATTTCATTTCCATTACAACCTACAATATCAACCTTTTAAAACGTTAGTAGATGCTACAGCATTTTTGTGAACACTGTCGAAGTTCAGATAACACGAGATATAATTTCACTACATAGGTATTCGGAAACTCGCGCAACAAGTATAAAAATTATTTTGAAAGACAATAATCAAAAAAATATTCTTACTGATATTTCGATACGACGAATTTCTTCTTTTTCTACTTTACCAACTATCTCTTCACCATAAAGTCTATTTACTTGTGATGTTCTAACTGATTCCACGCTTACGTCCCCAATTCGTTTGGAAAGATTCCTTTTATTCGAAATGGTGTCAATATGTATTTCTAACTCCTTGTTAACATTCGAATCCAATCTATCTGGCGGTAACTGAAGGATTATTGATTCAATTTGACGTCCAAGTAAAATCTCTTTGAGTTTGCATATAATTGGTATCGCTTTGTACTGGTAATCTGTTGAATACGTTTCTCCAGTAGGTGATATTACATCGTTGTAAGCATATACTACGAATTGAATCAAATGTTCCTTTGTACCAATCCATATGATACTTGTTTTGATCTGTTCATCACTTTGATAGTAATTTGTTACTGAAGGCAAATTATAAGCCTGCAAATGCACCCATTTATCACCAGTTTGTGACAATAAAGCATGACCATGTAGTGGTTTGACTGGCAAATAACGATAAGGGAAACGTAAAGATAAAAGTCGTCCGACTGTTACTTCTTCTTCAGTTCTATTTTTGGAATTGAATCTTGTGCACTGAAATTTGAATAAAACATTTCCATAACTGCATCATAAACTTAGCTTTTATCTTAACTTTAGAAATGTAAGTAAAATTAGACTAGTTTGCTTCTTATCAAGCAAGTAAAAAGGGTCCAGAAAGTGAACTTTACTGATGTAATGCTTGAGTCTTAAACACTTGTTTCATTGTTACTCTGAATAATTTATACACTTACAGCTTATTCAGACTCATAAACCTCGAATTAGTGACATAATAGTAGTACGCATAACTTTTTATTTCATCTGTAAAATTAAGGAATATTCATTTACTTCTAAACTGCCACTGACTATAGAAAGTCTATAGTTGATGTTTTCATTTAATGTTATTAAAAAAAGTTGGAAGTATCATCAGTAATCCTAGTGATTTCAAGGATAAATTTGCGTACTTTTAAATTACGTTTCACATGATGATCATTGAAATAACTAACTATATATATAAGGAATGTGTTTACCGATTTCAATCAAAGACAGGACAAAAGTGGAATATAAATTATTATTATCTAAATAACTTTAATAAAAATCAGCTAAAATTAAATATACATAAACATTGGCTTCAAATATTGTGCAAATATACAAAAGTATGTGGGAGCTGTGGTAAATATTGAGTGGGTAACACTGTTTAAAGAAATTCTCAATATTCAACAGATTGTAATTGGACTTGTGCTTTCAGTAAAATATCAGTAGTTCTGTTCCTCGTTGTATGACATGGAATGCATGTTAGAATTATCAACATAAGTGTATGTTTCCTTTTTTTCGATACTTTCAAATTCAGAAACTTAAATTTTGCTGGATCTTAACTCATATGCAACTAGTATATAAATATGTTATGTGGGATATTTCATACCTAAGGATATGTTATTTTATCTAAGTCAATTGAAATGTAAATACTTAAATACATTGTGTACGTCCTCACTTTATAGAAAAGTCTGAAAAAGCAATAAAATACTTACAATATTTGAAAATGAATTTGATACAGGAGACGATTTTAAATCATTTTGTTTTTCATTAGTACGAACTAGTGGTCCATTGAACGAAGCTCTAAGTTCATTCAAACTATAAATACATAAAGCACTTCCAACTGGAGCTGATCTACAATCAAATTAATGAATCATATTTAATGTTAGTTGACTTTAATTAAAGAATCCAGCTAATTTTAAAAACTACTGGTTTACGCTTACCATACTTTGGTGTAGAATGCTGTTTGAATGTTTTGAGCATCTTAACAGCATGAGAAGGTGGGCCAGTCATCTAGCTAAACAACAACTAGATATTTAGATTTAATTCATATAACTTGGAACTAAATATAATTCGTTTACATTTAGTGTGACAAGAATAATATCTTTAAATGTAGAGTAATATTGACTGATACTGAATGATTAGAGAAATCAACAAGAAGAACTGGACTTCACTTTCCATCACTTCGTATACATTAAGCAAAGATCATCTAAGTTAGGAAGTTGACGTTCTTAGTAAGATTCGAATGGCAACTCATCTCATGTTTCATAATCATTAGTCTTAATCACATTACGTCAATAATAATGCGATATCATAGTTTTATTAGTTATAAATAACTAAGACTTCATTACAGGTGTTACTACTAAGTTCGTATAGACTGAAAGTCATACGCCCTCGAGAAAAAACATAAACTCAACAGTGATTAGTTCTACAAAATATGTAATTGTTTATTTAACGAAATGTCTGGAAAATCCCCAGTTTTTGTGTATAGAATGGTATCATATTATGTCATACAAATAGTTTTTAACCAATAATAATCCATATTTTTGACTAAAGTACAAATGAAGAAATCTGCTAAAGATTCGGTTAAAATCCTTGATATTTTGAGACAATGTGTTTTTAAATAAAGATTACAAACTGTTAAGTTGATAGTATAATTTGGTCTGATTCATAAGTCAGTCTAGATCAGATTATCTTGGACACCTACCATGTCTCTATCGCTCATACTTAATTGAAAATATTTACAAAATAAAAACGATATATTCTGATGTCATTATATTTTCCTAAATTTTATCAGTAGCTAATCAGACCATTTACGAACAGTTAATGATGTGATAGAAGTTATGAAAATTTACTAAACATACTAAAATTATTACTTATTTCATCATTGAAATAAGTTTGTGAATCACAATTACATAATTTTTAGTTGAATGGCTTTTCACATTTACGTTCAAGATTGGTTTAATCAAGCAATGTTAGTATATGTATTCGCTGAACAGGTGATTTCAAGTTATTCAAATTGATAGATTGATTATATTTCCATTATTGACTATCTATATAGATACATCAAATATATCTCAAACTATTAACAATAGTTAAATAAGGAACCTTTCAACAATGATGAATATATGATGCTTGTTGAACAACAGTGGTCTATCATAAGTCACTAGTCCAGTGGATAAATTACTATAGACAGAAATAATGTTATGGATTTACATAAATGAATGTATATTTAGTTAATAAAACAAGCGTAAAGTATTCCACTGTTGTGCATTATTCAAAATCTCATATTAGTTGTCAAATAATTGTGAAGTAATTTTAGATTTTAAATGATTTATCACAACAACAAAAAAAACCTGATACATATTTTCTCAGGGTTTATTTCAACTGTCAATCAAAGTTTGTGTAAATACTAAAGTTTTAGTATTTAAAACTCAATAATTACAATTTAAGTAAAACTTACTTTTCCGTTGTAAATGTTGCGTAAAGTAATTGTGTATTATTATCCCAATAAGCTGTTGAAATGTGTGTATAGCTAAAATATCCACCATTTTCATTTGTAGCTGGACATATTAAGTCAGCTTTTGCAAATGTAGCAAAACGATTTGAGCTAATATATGGCAAACCACCTGGATCACCTTTACAAACTCTTACTAAACGTGCAACACTTGTTAAACAGTAAGGCTGATGCAATCGTTTTAATTTTTCAACTTTAGATAAATGGTTTACAGAACTACCTACATTTTCTTCACATCTTGACATTTGTGAATTTGGTTGTTCTCGAAGAACGAAATAAATTTCATCAGTTGTTTCGAAAGTTAATAAAATTTGCGCGGGTTCTAGAATTATGTATAAATAAAAGAAGTAGTATACAATATTCTGTAAATTTTTTGAAATTATAACAAAATTTTTGGGATAAATGGTACCTTCAAATGCAAGCTCAAAGAATACATTTCAGTGTCATATTTAAATGTGATGGGTTTTTGTAATACCCAAATACTCCGATAGCTGTCAACAGAAGAAACTATTATGTCTCCTTACCACCTATAAAAGGGTTTTTTATTCTATGAATTGTTTCATTATGTCCACCAAGTACTACTGTAACAGTAGATGTTTGACATTTTAATATTTTAACTGTGTTTTTATATACAGTTGCTCTTTAAGTGGTATTATTTTGACAATTAATGAATAAAGCTTGATGGTTCATTTATTAAGTTATAAATTTCCAAAACATGACAAATTTTAATTATACAGCTACATATCTAAAAGCAATTAATAACAATCAAAGAAGAACTACTTATTGACTTTAAGATCATAAAAGAATGTTTGATAAAGACTAAACAATTGTGTTTAAACTATAGTTCATTTCATAATAAACAATTTCATATTATCTAACTAATTCCAGTCTTTAATAATAATAATTTATAATTGAGTAATATTTAATTCAGATAAACTCATTTTTCATGTACCGTATTCCTTGTGAATTAAAACAAAGAAAGAAAAAAAAACAGAACATTTCTAGATTTATTGCATAATGTTAATATTATCATGTATGATGAATTAAATTTTTCTTTGGGAAAAGAAAATTCATGTTCCATCATAAAATGGTGATAGATTATTGTAACAACCATAATTGATAATACGATTTAATGAAAGTGAACTGAAAATTCCAGAAAGATAATAAAATCTGTTCACTTGTGAATTGTTAAGAAAAAAGTGTATGTTTTAGAATTTACAAAGGAAAACAGAAGTGATTCTTTTTTTTGTGATACATTTCCATAGTCATTCCTATAAAAACATTTAAAGTAATTAGTCCCTTTGATAAGTTTCGATACTGTAATAATCAAGACGAACATTATCAGAACTATGTGATATATGAGCGTAATACATTTCGAACAATCTGATCACACATATACCTGTTAAGAGCATTTACTCGTCATTTACTCTTACAATTTGTCAATTCTTGCATATTACCTATTATTCATTACTGTTCTCCATTATTCTTCCCGGGCTTTTGAGAAAAGACTGCTGTATTGCGGAGAGTGCTGAAGGCAGTTAGCAAGATGTGTGGTGAATCTTTCGAGGTCATACTTAATATGGTTCTGGTTAGACATCTAAAGTCATGCAAACTCCTGACAGGTGTTATTTTATCAGATACTAACCATCCCCTTCACTCTTATCTTTCTCCTTGTATTATCCCCTAATAGAACGAGACGTTATTACATTAAAATCCATGCACGCAAGCAAAAGTATAAAAGTTCTATAATACCTTACCTAGCAAATATACTCTGTGACGAACAGGTTGTTAGAGTTAACCTAATCAATAACCTGCACTCTTAACATGTCTCTAATTTGAAAAGTTGTACAGTTTTTGGGTTTTTTAAAACCCTTTTTTCCTTTTTTTTGTCTTTGTTACTGCTTTTTTTGCGCAAGTAACTTGTTAAAATACCGTGTGCTGAGAATTCTATACTGTACCAAAATATAATATTGAATAAAGCCATTATTATTAATAATAATAATAATAATAATAAAAGACCAACTAGACTATGAAAGAGGGGGTAGAGGAGACAAGGATAATAAAAAAATAATGTGAAAGCAATTTGAAACCTTATTACTTTGGGTAATAAACTAATATGTGTGATCAGATTGTTCGAAATGTATTGTGCTATAATATATCACATAACTCTGATAATCTTCGTCTTCTTATTACACTACTGAAATTTCTGTAAAGGTATAATGATTTAAAGATTAAATCCATTGTGAAAGTTTTACAAGATGGGATGAATTTTAAGAGCAACTTCTTTATAGATAGAATTTCATAGTGGAATAAAATATTTTTCTCACGAATAGTCTTTTTCTATAGGGAATAAACCATTATCTATCAAATTAGAAAAACACCATATTGTACGTGAAATTACGTTATAAGCCATATATATTACTCACCAGTATTTCAATATTTCAAAGTAGTACAGTGTAAGATTATAACTTCTTACTTAATTGGAAATTAGCGAATCACGTTTTGCCGAATATTAACCTTAACACACCAACTAGAAATGTAGGCATAGAAACTAGATAAAACTGAGATTATTATTAATAACATTGATTAAATCTGTCAGATAATTGCATCCCTTAAAAAATACAACTAGAACTGTGAAATATACTCAAACATTGAAAGCAGACCAGTCAGTTAAAGTATAAATTATCTAAGAAAGAGGTGCTTGCTAAAACTTCCTATTCAGTAAATAAAGATTCAATGTTACTTGACATTATACCTTAGTGTTTAGTTGCTAACTTCAAGTTAACACATATATTCATTTAGTTTTTAAGTATTTGTCATCCAACCAGATAAATTGACTAAACTATGCACTTGGTGAAATAACTTAACATCATTATTTATATACGTAAAAAAGGTAGCAGTTCATTCTGTAGTCTGTGTGTATGCAATTTCGTCTGATATATCATTTGAATATAGAGCGAGTGTTCGTTTTATCCTTAAATGCCATTCCGACGATTTATTTGTCTCTTGAATTTACGACAGACATAAAAAACTCAAATTATAAAATGCGCCGATTGGGTTGTTTCTTTAAATAAAGTAGCATATGTAAAATGTAGATTTATTTATTTATAGATCATTATCGTAGGACGCTGTCTTAAAAAGTGAAACAAAATCTTCGTCAGCCATTAGAAACAAAAGTTTTGAACAAAGAATTTGAATTGTCAATGTTTATATTATCAATTGTGCTAATTAATAAATGGATATCTATTACTGGAGCTCACCTGCTATAAATGTTGGATTTTTATCAGTGACCAATGCACCTGTCCAATTGAAATTTCCATTCCAATCTGGCATATAAGCACGAAATATACGCAAGTAATCTAAAGTAAATGCAGATATATAAGTGAATCCATCAGCTGCATTAAGAACACTGGGTGGTTTATCAGGATATAGTGAATTGAAATGAGGATTTTCCCATTGAATTAATGGTACGGCCAGATTTTCAGCCTAACAAAGAAAAATAGATCACGGTTTGAGAGTTCCGTTAACAGCGGATTTGAAAGTATATGAACAACTCTATATTAGTTTTTGATTGACATCATGAACCGATTGTTGTTAGATCACCATTGAAAACCTGGAAGCACTGGACGGCCGGGTCGTTCTATTGTGTGACTGCTCAGCAGTGCGCATCCACGATCCTGTTCGCAGGACATTAATACCGTTTGATACCGGCTTCGCACACAAGGCCGAGGGCTCCGGGTTCGAGTCCTGCGAGCGGGATCATGGATGAGCACTGCTGAGGAGTCATACAATAGAACGACCCGGTCGTCCAGTGCTCCCAGGTTTTCAATGGTGATCTAACATCAATCGGTTCATGATCTCGATCAAAAACTTAATAATCTCCACAACCCCAATCCTGATAACTCTATATTATTCTGAGCTGAGGTGAAAAGTTTGACAATCTGGTAAAATGCTTACGCAGACCCTATATTCAGATATAAAGTTATTTATAACATCCTAGTTGTGTTGTCCAGAAAGTCTAAGTAAAGTATTCTTATGTCCGTATGCAGGGTTTTGACCAGACTATGTGTGTAACTGGCATAGTATGTAATATAATTATTGTTTAATTGCACAGACAAAAAAGAATCATTAAGAGTAGTTGTCATGATAAATACTGTTTTACAAATATTCAATAGTGACCTATTTATTACATAAATCTTAAGATATACATTTCCCTCGATTGTAAAAGTACTTGAAAACATTCTAACTCCAATGTCCCAATTGTTTTCATTTCATTGTGTAACCTGTAACATTTTATTAAATTTTTTTAATAAATTTTGTTTAATCAGTAAATTATCTAAGTAGTATCAAGTAAACAAAATAGAATCATTATAGATAGATTACATAATTTCACAAAGTTCAACAACAAATTCCGAACTAAGATTGAACTATAAGTAATCTGTAAGAATGAATTAATCTCATGAATTCACACCATAAACTATTAAATATAATTATTCATATATGTATAACGAAGTGTATATATTAAAGCCGAGTTAATGAATATATATATATATATATATATATATATATATATATAAACATTAAAATAATCGCCGGTAAGTATAACAACAAATCCACTTCATCGATATATGATAATTCTGTTGAGAGTAGATTTCAAATACTGCATACCCTATTCAAATGTCTTACGTTAGTTACAAATTTAAGTCTATTCTTCAGAATATTCATAAAACGTGACATATTGATAACAAATGAATAAGAGTGAAATAATATTTGAATTTTCAATGTTAAATTAACATTTTAATCACGTTTCAAAAGTTTTTCTTTTCTTTCAATATTTTTTTTGTTGTTGTTGTTGTTACTATTCTGCTGGTACAATAAATAAAACTTTCACAAACTTAGCAACATGAGTCAGTTTTTACTATTTTTCTAATCTACTGTTTACATGAAATTCTTTTTGTTGTTGTTGGCTTAATTGGGTTTAGTTATATAGATTTGTTCGAATAATTTCTTTTGATTTGGAGGTATATACAAAATGTTTATCAAAGAAAATCATAATATACACATTATTCTCGTAATTAATAGTGAAAAAAGTTTTATTTAAAAGTTGATAAATGAATTTAATTCTTCTATACATGAAATATCTTTAGATTTATATTGACAAAAACTTTGCTCATTCCATTCATATCATAATCAGGGAGGGGTTTTCCGGATATTATAGTCATTTTAATAGTTAAATTCATGTGTCGATTAAAACTAGACCACCATGGAAAACCTGGAAGCACTGGACGGTCGTTATGACCTATTGTTGGACTCCTCGGCAGCGGGCATCCGCGATTCCGGCACACGAGATTCGAACTCAGGACCTATCAGTTTAGCTTCAAATGACTCATGAATTCAACTATTAAAATTATTATAGTATCCACAAAACGTCTCCCTGATTACAATTATCATATCCTCACTAGTGACGGTAACCAAGAGTTATTTCGTGGAGTTCTAGTGAGAAGCCAAGATCATTGAAGTTCAACAAGTTCTGTTGTGATATAGTAACTCACTGAAGACAATGGTGGATGGTGGAGCAATTTCGTCGATTGGTTCAAGTTAGACATTTAAAACAGTTGAACGCCGGCTCAGTGGTCTACAGGTTAAGCATTTGTGAGCGAGACCGAATATTCTGGGTTCGAATCCCGCGAGTGGGATCGTGGATGCGCACTGTCGAGGAGTCTAACAATAGGTCATAACGACCGTCCAGTGCTTCCAGGTTTTCCATGGTGGTCTAGTTTTAATCGACACATGAATTTAACTATTAAAATTTCATTCATATTAATGAATAAGCCACCTTTATAATATATTGATGAATTTAATCAATTATGTCTCTTGTTAGAATTTGTTGATATCACTAAATGATTTTTAGAAATCGTGAACAACTTTAGTTATTTGGTGGTACAAAAAAGTTTGTTAATAGAGAACGCAAATGTGCCGTTTTAATTAAACGTTTTGTTATGACGTACGATGCCTGAAATCTGGTACTGATACACAGTATGCTATGCGCTGATCCCTAACTGACTACTTCAGTGAGAACACAAGAGTGAGTGAGAAAGTGCAATGGACCACCGAATAAAATGCACGAAAACTCACTCGTATATATACTAGCATATTCTTAGGAAGTTGACCCCAATGAAATGCACTTGACCTATAGCTACTTCTGATTGACTCTCCATATCACTTTTCTTTGACTTAAAGAATTATCATTAAAATGATGACAGTTTAAGTATCAGCATCGTTTTTTTAATTTCAGTTCAAAAGATTTGTTTCTAAAAATGTAAACTACACTAAAGTTCGTAAACTTATTTACTCTACTCAAAATTGCATTTTGTTTCTTCGGAAATCAAAATGCTCTTATTACAATTGTTGTTTTACTTGGTACTGTTAAACATATGTACATGATATATCAGTAAATAAAATAAATAGTTTTAATCCACTCATTCTAATGAGAATTATTGACAGATAATATAATTTATTAGAATCGAGGTTCTTCTAATTATCCATATGCCAAAAACAAAACAACAATTATATAAGCATCAGATGAACTTAATTCATAAATGATATTTCTAATTAGTACTAATATTTTACGGAAGTATTTTCATACTTTTTATCCAACTTAATTGAAGTTTTATCATATTGATTTATCTTAATTAAACTATGAAATATGTAAGCAAAGATGAATAGTAGCTAGCAGTGGAACACAGAACGCATGTTTCGTCCTATTTGGGAGTCCTCAGCTGGATGTACCTGCGTCGAGTTGATGTTCACTGTGGGACTCGAACCCAGTACCGTTCACTCCAAACGCTATTGTGTTATCCAATTAGCTACTGAGTGAACATCAACTCTCTGAGATGCAGGTACATCCAGCTGACGAGTCCCAAACAGGACGAAATGCACGTCCTGGATTCCACTGCTAGCCACTATCCATCATTGCTTATAAAGCTTGCGACCTTAGACAATATAAAGGCAGGATGCACGTATTCCAATAGGAGATTGATCAATTGCAGTCCTAATAATCAATGGGAAGATACCAATAAACAATACTAAGTGAACATAAAATATGTAATTGAGTGATATGCTGATTACTATTGTAGATACAACTTTCTCAGTTGATACATTTATAGAAAAAGCCTCTAGGATTCTGTCGTAAATTTTATTTTTGTGATAGTCGAAATTATGTTGAAAGCCAACCATTGGCATATTTTATATTCCCCATTGTTAGCATCTATTAGTGTACTAGTTTTATTGATGTAAAACGAGATCATGACCTTAAAAATCAGTAGCGTTTAACATCTAAGTATAAGTCTTAACAATTTGAGACAATTTATTGAGATATGTTTTACTATAACTAAGCTGGCATCTGATATTTCCCACCATTGTTTTTTTTAAATCGTTATATTTAGTACGCCAAGGTAAGTAACACCATCGTTAGGAAGATTTTATCTTTAGTCATCAACAAAAAGTGATTATAAATTACATTAGTTGTAGAATAGTGTTTGGAACGCGACTGGTACAGAACTTCAGTAATTTAAAGCAATAAATATCAATTTAATGTATCTGTATGAATTGGTTGTTCAGTAGTCTAAATGATTAAATGAATAACCTCAGTACATAAAGTACGTTTCCTCTTTTGAAATCAAGTACTTTGTAAAGAGATGCCACTGAGCATGTAACTTATTTAGCTACTCATCATATTTATAAAAATCATTGACCAAAAGAAATAAGAATCTATACTATCAATTAAAAGAAATTTATATCTTTTATTAACTCTTAGGTATAATTGAATGGGTTTTTAAGTTCGATTTCAATTATTCCATATGTGTTCATAAAACTCTGAAAATAAGTGTTATCCCTCAATGTTTACCATTACAAAATTTCACCCTGTTTAACGAGTAATCTTCATAAAATAAAGAAAGAAAGAACATCGATTTATCTTGCTCATAAACTATCGCCTCAATTATTCCATTAATAAAGTAAATATGTCAGAGTGAAAAATATTGATCCGTGGAACGTCACATGTCAATTTATTTACCAATCTTATTCAGTTTTATATTAGATAGAAAAAGAAATACCAATAATGTAAAATCATATGACTAGCTCAAGACAATGTATGATTGTACTTAGATGTTCACCACTTATTGTAATACAATTGAGGTAAACTGACTATGTGAAATAGGTCAACTAGAAACCTCTAAATAATTCTATAGAAGCATGTGTTAAAATCAGATAAATTCATGGACATTATTAGGAATAACAATTAAATGTTTCACAGATTGAAATCATGAGTCAATTGAAGCTAGACCACCATGGAAAAACTGAAAGCACTGGATGGCCGTTTCGTCCTAGTATGGGACTCCTCAGCAGTGCGCATCCAGGTTTTCCATGGTGGTCTAGCTTCAATTGACTCATGATTTCAATTTGTGAAATTTTTAAAATCTCCACAAACCCCTTCTGATAATTAAATATTTCCAAATTCAATGTTTTATCATCAATATGAACAGTTATTTATTACAACAGTGTTATATGTCATTATGAGTACTTGACATGGTAAAATATTTAAGAAATTTATAACAAACGGCTTGGTTGAATTATTTTCGTCTAGTGTGCATGATCTCAATTTCTAAGACAAAAAATTACAATATATCAATGTTATTTACTTAGCAACTGTTCGAGGATCTACTGTATTTTTGGTGAACTATGTTTTAGTGACAAAAGTACCAGATGTGAGTTTGAAAACGAAATATGTTTTTGGTCAGTTGGTGTATTAAATCATAATAGTTTCTTCCTACAATTGTCGGACTTTTCCTTGACATTTGAAATCATATGATAAACATATTTTCATTTTTATTTGGACAATCTCTTTAGAATTTTTTTTAATAGTTAAAATCGTTGTAAGCAATAAATGACATGTCTACTGAATGATGGTATATGTTAATCTAAGTTATTTGATATTGTCAGATAAATATTCATGAAATTCAAGAATTCAAACATAAATCTTTATGTTACAAAGAGTGAACAGTTTTTCTGTTGCATACTATAAGTAGTCAGTAGGACTTCATTCATATTTATCACTTATTAATCAAATGTTATAGGGAAAACAGTGATATTTCCCAAGCTTATAAAACCCGACCACTTTATAATAGTTCGAACTAACAAAACGTACCTAAGACTGTTACCAACGTGTTATGTTAGATTATAATTATCATGTATCCACACTTATTTAGAAAACGTTTTGTCAATATTATTTAGTATTGCAACCACAAGGTAGGGATGACTAGATTATTTCTAATTTTAGAAAGTAACTAATTTGAAGCTACAGTCAGATCCACACATTTTTCAATCTGTATTTCAATTAAAAGTTAGAAAGAGCGTTTTTAATGTCTCAGTAGAAAGCTCTTAATTACAAAATTGTTGAAGAATGGTTATTCACTGAAATTTGTAAGCTGATGGATAAGCTGTAGAGGCTAATTCACTCTATATCTGACTACAATAAATAGTATCTCGTTAACTGAGTATTTAATGCAGACTAAATCTCCTAGTCGAATTATGGATTTACTCGAGATTATTCAGAAGCCTGAACAACAGTTATAGGGATAGTTTATTGTTAAAGATTGGTAAAATCCGCAAGCGTATAGGAAGAAGGCACACAGTGAAACCAAGAGTGTGTACGTGAGTGTTAAAAATCCATATATATTTATGAGTGCTAATCAAGTATGGACAAATTATTGATTATCTGTGTATTACAACCGATGGGAGAAAAGATTAAAAATTGATGTGCAGAAATGTGCTCAATCATATTCACACAGAAATTTACATGGTCGATTAAATGTATAAATTACAGAGAGCAGATAAATAATACAGTAATTGAATGGGCTTATTACAAAGCAGCCATATGACGAAACCTATTATGATTTTCGGGCCGAAAATATGTTAACTTCATTTTACTTTTCAGTGGTGATTCAAGTAGTCTTAGATTCAAACGAAAACAAATTAGCGATCACAAGTACCTTTCACGCAATCCAATTAATCATAATTGAATAGTCAAGGTCAATGCTTCAATGAAAATCCAGACCGATTGTAATGATTGCACCTCATCATACTACGCACATCAACTTGTATGTGTATGGACACACACATGAATAAAAGCAACAGAGATCTGCATCTAAGAATTGATGAACAAATACTTTAGTTGCTAAAAATAAGAGCATAGGATAAAAATTGGTTGCAATGGGTGATACAGTCGACATTAGATCAGTCTTTGAGGTCTCCGATAATTGTTCACAGACGTATCGATTTAATATTAGGCAATTATATGACTTTCAGACTTCTATTAGCTGACAAATGAAAATATGAAATAAATAAGCGATACAACCAAGTCAACTAAATCACTTCAAGTAAATCAAAAATATATTTTGACATTTGTATACTTACAGCTGAAAACTATGGAATGTTTCGAATAGATTTACAATTCAGAGCATCAAATTATTGAGAAACGTAACTTCTTATGCGATAAAGTCTCAAAGACTGGGTAACTGTTATGAGATGTGTCAAGTGACATCTTCCATTGATTTGTGAATCAAATGATTAGTTGAGACAGCTGATTAAAAAAAGTTGTCGAAATGGTAAGAATATGATTCATATAAGTAAAACTACTTAAAACACTGTTTCATTTAATCACTGCTACTCTAAACAAAAATCCATTTCGGAGGTTAATTAACTACGGAGAGATACTACTTACCGTCGGGACCATGCAACCACTTTCTGCAAGTAGATTAGGACGATTTTCGTGAGAATGATGGGTCACATAGCAGATCCATATCATACGTTCATCAGGCATTTTAGCAAGTAAACTGATTTCCTTCATTGAGTGACATGACCACTACAAATTACAAATGATAAAATGAAACGAATTAAGATAAAAACTAGACATTTTTGAGGAAACTTTAATAGACATTATGTAGATACTAGTAGAACTTCGTTTCCTTTGGCAGTCAGATAAAAAGCAGCAGACTAAAAACCAATTAGGGGATCAGTGGAAAAAAGTCCTTAGGTGAGTCAAATTAAACTAGCATCTGGCAAGGAGGTATCAGTCTTGGAAACCATAAAAATTTCAACTTGTACATTTACCACAAAATGATTGTACATGTTGTTTAAGTGTATGACCTTGAACACACAATCTTCCGTTGTGTAACACGTCGTTAACCGCTCGTAAATACACTACTATACACACATCTTTTGTTCTCCGTTGCTTGTGGTTACGTTAACTGAATTCTGAAACATCTATCATCTACATTTATAGACAGCGACGACATTCTACGCTTGACTATATTACTGGAATCATAACAACCTCACTGGGATTATTAATTATTTATAATTGTGGATTCTGGAAGCAAACGCAACGGAACATGCACCAACTTGCTGATTTAAGTAACGTCCTTTAACTTTTGTTTGCGTTTATAACTTATAATTTGTATACTATTATATTAATGTTGAACGTAATAACTTTATTGCTAATTTTGAGTTATTATAAATTTTGGTCCACCACAATCCATTAAATGTAAGTTAAAAAGAAATTAATAATCCATTTCAAAACACGTTCTTAACAAAAAAATAAATTAAAGGAACTATCCGTTCGTCTACAAGGTGATAACTTCTAAAATTATATCTGGTAAAGGAACTAGAATTCATGAAAAGAAATAACTTCATCTAATAGTTTAAATATTGAAATGTATATTTAATTATAATCAAGATATAAGTTATTTATTAAAATGGTAAAGCTTTAAATAAAAATAAGGAAAAAAATTAATATATTTATTACTAAGCTAACAACATATAAAATTTGAATTTAGGTCACTTCATCAAATTGTATTTAGTTCAATTTGACATTAATGACCAAAAAGAAGAAAAAACAAAACAAAATAACTTGAAAACCGGAGAAAAAACTTGTTTAAATTACTTTAGAATTGTACATTTTGAAAGTATTTGAACGACTGGATAATTTTATATATGTTCAAGTATGATAAGCCATAGATTGTAGTTGATTTATACAATGAAAGTGTAGTGAAGGAGAACACAATTGAGAATAATTGAATGTATTTGAACACGAAATTACAGTAAATACTTCATTTGCAAAATATCAGTCAATGATTTCAAACTTCATTGTTACTTTGTTGCCATAGCAATCATTCTCTGTTCTCGTTCTTTTTCCTTCAATACCTTTAATCTTCTGCTTCCAAGTATTTCACGTACTACAACATCAGTAGTACACACCACAAAAAGACTCAAATAATTCACTTTTTATAAACTCAGTATAAAATATTCAGTTACATGTTTATGATAAAATTAAAACATTTTAAAACTCATTGTGTTGTTTAGACGTTTCTTTACACAGCTATTTTATGAGTATACTACGCGATATTTGAAGAGGTGTTACCTTCCATCAACACACATGTTGATGAAATGAAATTTTCCGAAAATTGTGTTTGATAGCTTGACAATACTTAGGACAATTTTTTGTTGTTGAAATAATAGCATGATAATGGACAGCAAATGTGGTAAGATTTTTTTGATCTTAGGAGTCTCGCAATTCAGGTTACTTGAGAACATGTCTTTGTAGTTATCTTCTTATCAGAGATCCAGTATATTGAGCCTCAGCATTCTTTTACATGTGTAAAAATTGGTCAATAAAGATGAAAAGATATGGTTTGCAACAAATTGTCAACAAATATTGTTAAAGCATTGAGTCAGTCAGATATAATCAACCTAAGGCCTGGTACAGCTGTATGTTGGCCCAAATTGCCATATCAAATTAAATTGACGAAATGAAGAAAAAAACAAGAATTATGAAGAGAACGAAATAATTTAGTAGCGATAATAGCGACTAAGACAAATGTGTGAAGAACACAGTATGGAAAGAGAAAAAAAGCACATTATTTAATACCAAACGTATGATTAAATTTATTCATTTGAGAATGTTATCTTAATGTAAATCGCAACGTTGCTGGGTTAACATTTATTTTTCATAAGTATGTGGGGAAATAATTTACCTGAAACTTTCCATTGTTTTGTTGATAAACGTTCAAATAAAGATAGAGTTCATTGTTCAGTTTAATTACAACTAATCACTATGATTTCCTACATTTTAGATACTAGATATCTCTTTTTTGTGCTAAGATATTCATTTAAATAAAACAAAATTGTTAATTGATGATTTAACTTATTTGTATTGGTTAAATACATCTTTAAGTTATTTTGTAATTCCTAGTACCAATAAAGTGCAAAATTCCATTTCTACTTACTACTACATTGTCTGAAAACTATTTAACCGAATATTTTTATATTTTGTTCTTCTATTAGTGAAGGATTCACTAATTAATTGCATTATAAGTGCAGAAATAATTCTTCAGGTTTTTTGGATATTTCGGTGATTTTAACATGAAGAAACAGCTTCTGAACATCTGAAACTCTAGAACTCTTCAGTTGTATAATTATAAAATTATTATCTGATGGGGTTTTTTGTGGATACTATAGAAATTTTAATAATTGAGATCATGAGTCTGTTGTGAGATAATAATTCACTGAAGACATTAGTGAATGTGTCGCTCAATTTCGTGAATTTGTTGAAGTTAGACATTGACACCATGTGATGCCGGCTCAGTGATCTAGTGGTTAAACATTAGTGTGCAAAACCAATAAATTCTGAGTTTAAATCCCACGAGGCGGGATCGTGGATGTGCACTGCTGAAGAGTCCCACAATAGAACGAAACAGCCCTCCAGTGCTCCCAGATCTTCCATGATGATCTAGTTTCAATTGACTCATGATCTCAACTATTAAAATTATAAAATTGTTATAAACATTTATAGAAGCTAACACAAACAAACATTGACTCAATTTTATTATAATCTGACTGCTGTAAGTTCGTTAATCTAGTGGAAAATCTAAGCTGTAAAACTTGTAAAAGATATTGAAATTAATGAAAAGAATTAAATATACATCATATTAGACAAATATAAAATAGATGTTCAATGCTTGATTTTGATTTATATCTTTATTATAATTACTGAACAGTGAACAGTTTTTCTTAAAACCAGTTCACCGATTTATGTCTATATGGTTTTTCATTGTTCTATTAAATAAAATAAATTGAACTAAATATTACAGACGTTACAACCTAATAAAACTACATACAATTAATAAGGTTATTAGATTAACACTTGTCTATCACAATGTGTTTTTTTCTCTCTTTAAATTGGACACAAATTTAATATGGTAATTCCCTGTTATTCTCTTTTTTTTGTTATTGTTGTTGTTGCTTGTTTCGAATACATTTAATTTTCACTTTCAGCAATAATTTAGTTATTCTTGTTGTTTAAAAAGAAAAAAAATTAACTAAAGATAGAGCTAATGTAATGTAATGTTTATTGAAAAACATGCTATCTCAATAGACTGTTAGTAAAAAGTTCTTCTGGTGAATATAAATAATCTGTTTGCTAACGTTTATGAAACTATGAAATAAGAATAAACTTGGATCAGATTGCCAGGCGAAATGTTGGATTCACTTCAAATTCTTTCGCTGAGATTTTACAAATACATTCGTCTTCTTTAATGAATAAACGATAAGTTTACAGATTATCTTATTTAAGATTTGAGAAAGTGAAAAATACATTTTTTTTAAAAAAATACTGGAACTATTCAGAATAAATAATTCAACAATAGATAGTTGTTGTGCCATATTCCTCAATATGTTAAAAGTTTGGTTCTACAAGGGTGAAAGGAAAGCACTTAGGAGTTCTATACTTGAACATCTAATCGACTGTAATCATTCTACAGATCAATAGTTTCATTTCAAGGTTGTTTATATGATTCGTTCAAATCTATCTAGATTTCTTCGTATCCCACTCCTAAAAATAGGTAAAGCTCTTACCATCCATGAACTCAAACCAGAACTATGCGTACAAAAGAAGTATGTTTTATCGTTATCGTTACCTTGGCCTTAATATTATTATTATTATTATTATTATTATTATTACTGCATTCCCCTTTACTTATGTCTTATATTCTCATTATTTTATTCATAAATACTCATTCTAGATGTTGTAAACTTGGGCTAGACCCTTTATGGAAGAGGAAAATAAACCTTATCTTTTTCTACAAACTACTTAATAAACTATCCTTTACATCCAGCCACGTGATTCAATATGTAGATACTTCTCATTATTACATCCGTAATTCCTTGGCACTAGTGAAATAAACTTATTCTAAATCATCTCTTTATATGAATTACTTCAACTGTAATTTTTCTAGATTCTGAAATAACCCACCACAATCTATCCGTACGGTAAAATCATTCCCATTATTTGTTCGCTGCATCGATGCATTGAATGTTTCAGCGCCTGTAAGTGTATCTCATTCCACAAGTGATATTATAGGAACTTTAAATGTTTAACCATCTTTATTAGTGCATTCCCTAAGTAAAACCAACTACTTGTTGTCACTTTATGTTAACACCGTCCCCAGCATGTTTAACTAATTTGAATAACACCAACAGTATATCACTGAGTCACATGACACACGCATTTAGGTAGACCTGATTCATATATTTCGGTAATTACTGCTTTGTTGTTCCGTGCTCTCTGTTTTCGTTGTAATTTCTCGAGTTGTAGATAATTATCATTAATTCGATTTGGTATACGAAATGACCTTAATTTCTCCGTTCATAAATCAACAGGCTGTCTATTTAAGAAATATTAAAAATTCCCGGCTGATGCATTGGATCGCTGTAATACATGTACTACCTAAACAATTACTGAACTAGTATACTTAAAACTTTCTTCTATCACATGTTTGCTCTGTACATCTAATGTTACTATTTATATCAAATTGATCATGCCTGTAAACTGGCGTGAATTCTGTAATTATTATTTTCAGAATGTATAAATTATTATTATTATCATATCAATTTATTTATTTTCACACCTCTATGACATTTTAGTCATTTTATTACATTCACCAAATCTATTGTTATTATTCGTGTTACGTAATCTAGTATTATAATCTTTCTATTACGTTACCTTGGTTATTCGTGTTCACATTTTCTCACGGAATTAGTTGTTTATCAGTTTCTTTTTGGTTTTGTATGTAAAAAAGAATAACTTGTTAAGTTTTGTATAGCTTTTATTTCTAATGCAAAAACATAAAAACCCTTCATAGGATAACCTAATTTATTTGTAAACATTTCGGATTGATTACTAGCTTGATTGAGGTTAAATTGATATGGTTTAAAAACTATCATGGTCTATCAAAAGTAAACATTGTCTAGTTATTACGTCTGAACAACGGAAGCTTGTATTTCATACTTCTTATTCTGTAACTACTGTAGGACCATTAAACAAAGCATAATTTATTATTCAGTGATAGGTCTGAAGATTTACTTCAAACGGCCTCCGAATGCTGGCAATCAGAGGGTGCTAATGAATTAGAAGCAATATGATAACCTTCAGAAGCGTTCTCAGCATACGGAAGTTCAGTGACACAATCAGTCAGGACATACCAATGAGTGACCTCTTAAGATGTTTTGAGCTATGAATAAAGCAAAACATAGGAAAGTTCAACTGGGCTAAATGTTAAACAAAGTCTAACAGATGGCCCTGTGGTCTATCGGCCGGTGACTACCGATCAACCCGACCAAGAAGACCTAAGTGAGAACCTCTAACTTCCTGAACACTGGACATCCTGAAATACAAACTATCTTCTTCTCTCTTCTGTTCTGTGACGGTGAAGAACTTCTAATTTAGGAACTGGCTGGAATGTTTGTAAAGATTCAGGATACGGAAAGTGTCCCATATTCCTGGAATACTAGGACAGTCATTCCCAAATTTCAAAACAGAGTAAGCAGGTTATGTGATCGTTATTAAGATATAGCACTGTGTTCTACTGTTTAATAATCAAAAGTCTCTATCATGCTCCGTCGAACTAGTGGAACTCGTCAAGAGTAGGTTGGGTCTGTTTAGGGCATCCTCAACAGCCTTTGATTTGCATGTCCAGACTATACCTTGAGAATGTCTATTTATTAGGGCGTAGATGAGAATTTTATCAACACCTCAATAGTTCTGTACACAAATGTTGCAGGTAGAGAGAAGAAATACAGCTATCTTTTTATTGTTCTAACTTTTTTTTTAATCATTCACTTTCCATTTGAATACCAAAAACATTTTTTACACAGCTTTAAATGAACTGAGTACGTATGGTGATATAAATCTGTTGACCAGTAAAAGATAATTCGACAAACAATACCCAGGCTGCCATTGTAGCACATAATCAGTGGGCGATTTGTGTACGTAAGTATAAAATATACTGTACACAAGCACAGTGAAAATCTTCCTTCCCAAGAATGACAAGAGTCTGCACTTATTGTTTGCAGTAAGCCCTTGAAAATAGTTGAATTGTTCGTTTATCTAGATAGATATGTGAAAAATGGTGATGAGGTGGTAAAGTGAGGCCAGTCTACGCTGCGTGAAATCATGAATAGTCTGTTGATCATGTCAATCTACGACGGAGAGGTCAGTTCATGACACTAATTCGTTGAGTCGGACTGGTATCTGTGAGTCCGTCCCTAACCTCAATTAAAGTTCTAGGGGTAGTGCAACTTAATAACTTCAGATATTATCTGACACAAAGGTAATAGAAAAGTGAACAAACTTAGCATTCGTTAGATTTTTAACATCTTATAAAATAATGTTACTATACATATATTTATTGATCGGTAAAAACCGTCTCCATAAACTGATTTTGAACAATAAATGATGTGTAGCAATATTTATAATGAAATAGTAATGTTATATTCAAGTTCAATAAAGTGAACAGTATCTACACTGGTAACCAAAATAGATATGATATAAAACTCACAGAATCGTTGCATTCTGGCATAGACTTTAATGACGTCGGTAGTGTATATTTATCATGTTGTTCGAATGTCGTCATGTCTAACTTTAACAGAGTTCCTCTAAATTAAAATAGAAAAAAAGGGATTTTAAAGAAAAAGGCTTTGATTGAACAGTCTTATATGATATCTTATTAAACGAGGATTCTACTGCACACTAACCACTCTAAACTCATCATACTCTTTGTCGGAACCACGAATTGTATGCATTTACTAAAGGCAAGATTTCACTATAAAGAGTTCTAAACAACTTCTTGCGAATATTTATATAGTCATATTATGACGTTTTTGTACATAAACACTCACTCATTTGAATGCAAAAACAACCAGATGTCTAACTTCAACTAACCCACGAAATTGGCGACACATCTACTATTGTCATTAGTGAGTTACTATCTCACAACTGACTTAGTTGAACTCCACTGGTCACTGCTTCTCACTAGAACTCCAGGTTATACATCTTGAAGCCAGTTACTAGTGAGCATATGTTGATTAGTATCAGAAGAGGCGTTGTGGAGATTTTAGTAATTTCAATAGTTGGACTTATTACATCATTAAGTTTTATTTCAACTGTCTTCTAAATTAGTAATTTTAATTTATCAACTGAGCTCTACTCATTTTATTCCTATCAGAGTTTACTCGTTATGTAATCACTTGTTTCTGGCTGTTTGAACTGTTGTCACAATCATTGTTGTAGAATATTCTTCCACATAAGGTATATATTTACAATATTCAATCAGTATTGGTTGGGGAGATTTCATTAAAATCGCAAACCAATTTAGACAACAACTGAAAACTAATAAACCGTTCCGTCCTAGTATGGGACTCCTCGAACTCGTGATCAGGAACGGGACCGTTAGTGCAGCGTGCGAGTTCTTAACCTGTGGATCACTCAGCCGAGATCTAATGATGTATAATTTGTAGGTATCATTACCAAGGTTTGATTTGATATTTTCGAATAAATTGAGCATTGGGTTGATTGTTGTAAATAAAAATAATATATTTGTAATATCCCAATGAGTAGAAAATTAGATTTTCTGACGTTTCGTGACAGTGTAAGCCACTTCTTCAGAGAATAAATAACCAATTTAAAATTAGTTCAAGTTTAAATAGTACAACGGAACAATGCAAGAGCAATATTGGATCAATCAAAAACAGGTCTGAACAAGTTGATGTCATGTCATTTCTGTCAAGGTGATTCATAAGTGATATGTATATAAATTTGTGTGTGCATGTATGTGTGCATTGTTTAAGAATGAAAACTTGTGTGACCTTTATGGTAAGAAAGGATAGAGTTTAAATTTGTAATATAATAGTGTGAAATTGTAAATACGATCAGACTGAATGGTTAGGATAGATGGTCTAAGTAGGATGTATGGTAAGGCCTTCTTTTCTATTGAGAGAAGTAGGATTAAGCATTATATGGAACGCCTCAGCTACCCTCCTTTCTTTGTAGTTGGAAAAGCCTTTTTGCAATATTTTGATATTTTTAAAATTGATTTGGTGGTTGTTGAAAATGGCATGAACTGCTATTGCCGATTTAATTTGAAGTTGGTTCAATTCTACAGGATTGTTAGGAGGTTTCTTTGTGTACCTAATATGTTCTTTGGCTCTAGTCAAGATTTCGCGGGATGACTCTCCAATATAATAGGCATCACAATCGATACAACCTAATTTGTAGACGCAGTTCTGTGTGGACATGAAAGGGATTTTTTCTTTCAGGTGAACTAAAGTATTACGTAGTGTGTTCGTTGTTTTGTAATATACTTTAATTCTGTGATGTTTTAAGATTCTTTGGATTTCTTCTGTTGTGCCATGACGGTATGGTAGAACTGCAGTACCAATCCATGGCATTTCATTCGAATCATTAATATAGAATCACCTGAATCACCTTGACAGAAATGACATGACATCAACTTGTTCAGACCTGTTTTTGATTGATCCAATATTGCTCTTGCATTGTTCCGTTGTACTATTTAAACTTGAACTAATTTTAAATTGGTTATTTATTCTCTGAAGAAGTGGCTTACACTGTCACGAAACGTCAGAAAATCTAATTTTCTACTCATTGGGATATTACAAATACATTACTTTTCATTTATAATGATGTATAAGCCTTTTTTTATTTTTTCTATACAACAAATCACTCATTAGCTAGTGCCTATTCTCATGCATTTAGTTATTGATGAAAATCAAATTATGTTGATATACTTTTCAATAACTTTATTAGGCCATGTAACATGCTATTATGATTTTTTATCTTAGATTTTAGATTTCCGAATAGGATATGCATTAGGTTGTACTAGGTTTACATATCCGCTGATAACGAGGTGCGACCATAATCTTAATAGACTTGGGATTCGTCTAGAATTCCTTGTGTCTGAATCACTTTTACAGTCAGAGACGTCACCGAAATGCATAATATAATCTACTTACATGGCTTTCTCAAATGCTCTACTGTTTAGAACATATAATGATCACTGAATAAGTTACAGACTGCTCTTACTCATGCTAATCTAGATTGTCACTAGATCTGTGATGATTTCACAGCGATGTAAAATATGACATATTAAGATGCCCCAATATAGATTATTTTGCACATTAAATCGGCAAACATGAGGGAATTGTGGTCATTCAAATATTACATAACATGGCTCCGACCATTTTAGTTGGAAAAAGAAATAACAGACATCAACTCATAGAAGTTTTCACATTAATCGATACATTTAATGGTTATTATCAATGGTACTATTAACAACATTCTTCTCTAGTACTGTAGGGCCTGAAAGGTAATATTTTTCCTCCATGTCTACCGACCACATTCTACTATGATTTGACAATCTACTGCAATCATATATAATTGGATGAAAATACCGTGTGATTTGTTATCACCTTTAATCAGTATTATATTTGGTAATTACAAAATAATCTCAGATATAAAAACTCCATGTAAATATTACTTGTATATAGCAATTAGACATATAACAATATTTGTTTTCCAGTAACCTTCATTTTCATCTTTGATTAGCTAGTAGTTATCTGAAAAGTAATTTATTATCATATTATCCTAATTAAGTATCTAGTTATTCATTCATCCAGTTAGTAAATGATCAAAAATTGTTTCTCTTAACTACCGAGATAAGTTTCGGGACATCATTCTTTTAACAAATTATTCACTCAACTATTGTAGTCACCAGTCGAATAGAATATTAGTTACATATAAACTATTTTCTAATTTTGTTATCAAAAAACAACCTATTTACTATACTTCACTTTGATTATCTTATGATCTAAAGCAATTAGTCCCTTTTATAAATTTCGATAGAACAATGAGAAGATGGAGTTGATATGAAAAATGTGATGTATTTGCACTATACATTTCAAACAATCTGGTCAAACATTTACTTGTCAGGGCATTTTATATAAAAATTAATGAAGGCCAATTAAATGAAAGTTCAAGTAAAAAGTAACAAAGTGGAGAGAAACAATTTTTCCTCGTATAAAAAGAAATAAGAAATTGTCGCGTTATCCTAGGCCATAGAATGACTTAAGGATTACCAGGGTAAATTCAAGGTTACGACAAATTGTTTTTGTACACATAAGGGATAGGGGTTAAATTTACGAATAGCTAAGCCTTTAATAAACTTGAGAATTCATCCTTGACCATTTTTCTATACAACCTTCTAAAAACTGTATTAATGTCAATTTTGTGCCCTGTTTCAATTGATAATTACAAAATAATCTCAGATATAAAAAATGCATGTAAATATTACATGATCATAGCAATTAGACACATAACAATGTTCGTTTCCCAATAACCTTCATTTTCATTCTTGACTGGTTAGTGATTATGATCCATTTATAGAAAAAGTGACATTCAGTAAAACAAATCAAATTTGATTGTTTTTTTAAAAATTTTATTACCTAATGCATATATAAGCCACAAAAACTTGTTTATGTTTTTATTAATAAATAGTTATGTCTATTCTAAATAATTCATTGCTGAAAACTGAAATGTTTTGGATAGTCAAACTTGAAAGAAACTGATGCAGACACATGATATCAAATTCATTTTAGTTTTTGTTTTAAAAACAAAAACAAACAATAAAAATATTTAGTGCTAACAGATGACTATGATGTTTTTAAGTCTGAGTTTAAGTTTTCAATAAATAGTTATAGTCAGTAGGGGTTTGTGGAGATTTTAGAAATTTCACTGATTGAAATCATGGGTCAATTGAAGCTAGACCACCATGGAAAACCTGGAAGCGTTGGACGGCCGTTTCGTCTTAGCATGGGACTCCTCAGCAGTACGCATCCACGATCCCGCACCCCGCGAGATTCGAACCCAGGACCTATGAGTCTCGCGTGTGAGCGCTTAACCACTAGAGAACTGAGTCGGCCGGTTATAGTCATAGTTTGAAACAAAGAACCTCTTACTGACTATTATTATTATTGTTATTATTATTATTATTATTATTATTATTATTATTATTATTATTATTATTATTATTATTATTATTATTATTATTATTATTATTATTATTATTATTATTATTATTATTATTATTATTATTATTATTATTATTATGTAAGTACATAGCGTTGGTTACTGTATTCATCTAGGCGATATAACCATTATAATATTGAATACAATAATAGCATTATCATGAATGTTAGGTTTTTTCATTACTTAGTTTGTATACATAGATTGTAAGAACCTAGATATATAATGAATAAGATATGTTTGTGTAAGCAAAAGTAAAAATCATGAGAACTATATTTGAATAATTTAATGTTAGAGTAATGAGCTTCATATTAATTTTATATTGAATTCATTTATAAAAACATTGATAATTTGAATGAGTTAGCTGGTTTTGAACTATTGTTTAAGTTTACATCTATGAAGTATAGATTTATAAATTTGTAGTGCAGTAACTATGAACGGAGTAATAAAAATAGTTGGTTATTCGTTCAATCATTGGTAGTTTAAAACTTGTCATTGAGAATAAAATATAGGTGAAGTTGGAAATGATTCTGATTGTAATTTGAAAGAACATTAATACATGAGGAAATATCTAATCGATACAACTTGTTTTCCAACTGATAATTAAGTGTAAATACTATTTTATTTTAAATTGTATTTAGATAGGTATCTGTCCAGACATTTAATGTAATGGTATAACAAGAAATATATTTACGTTTAACGCTCTAGCTTAGCTAGAAACGAGTCTCACTATCTTTAACATGTATTTTCTGCAAACATTTACATTGTTGGGTTACAGGCCCCGATGAATTCCATGTAATATTGAGGCATTATGTTTACACAGCTCTTAAGATAATAAACGATATACATTTGCATTACAGAACGTGATGCATGACTTACAATATCTAAGTTTCATTTCTGTGAGAAACGACAGTTCTGAAAATTATTAAATGCAAGATTTGGTCATTCTTGTTACAACACTAAAGAAATGTTAGTCATGTTGTTAAATGTACAACTGGTTCTCCCGTATTCTACTATGAAAATAACCTTGAAACTCAAATTTCTAGAAGTCTGATGGTTGATTTTAATTCATATCATCATTCAGAGTTTCCCTATTTATATCGAATTTATAGCCAAGACTAAACAATATTCATCATCTTTCTGAAGAAGAAGAAGAAGATCATCATTATTACATATGCTATTTACTTGGTCAATAACATCAATATATATTAAATGAAATAGCGCCAAATGTTTTATGTTACTTCATTGTATTGGAAATAATATTTCTGACATTGAATTGGCTTCTAAAACTCTCTTGATGAAGCCTAAATAATTTTACTATATAACAAATTATGATATATAAGATTGTAATATTGCTGTGTCGTACTTAATTTACTTAGTTATTTTTGAATGTTGATGCGCTAAGCGAAAGTACCTCTATGTCCCTCAGTAGGTGGGCCAAGATTACCACCTAAAGACACTTTTCACAGCATGCCTTTTTGACACAAGTTTAGTTGTAAAAAATTATTAAATAAAATAAATAAATTGACTAGACCATACAGTTATGTAAAGAAAATAAACTATAAAGAAACAGATTTAAGTTACCTGACATTCATATTTTATTTTGTATCATATTTCAGTATATTTTTCTTTAATATAGAAGAGATTTGACTAAAGTACCTGGCAATACATAATACTTGAATAATGATGTTTAAAATTTATCCTCATAACACCTCAAAAACATAAAATTACTATTTCATTGAAACTATAGACTGATCAATGTTAGACCACCATTGAAAACCTAGAAGCACTAGACAGCCGTTTCTGTCCAGATTTTCAATGATAATTTAACATTGATCAGTTCATGACTTCAACGAAAATCAACAATCTCCACAACCTTTTACTGTTAAAACTATTAGACTGGTCGTTTTTTAGTTTAAAGTTTAAATGAATATATTATTACAGTGAAGCTAAAATAATTTAGACAATGAGTATATACTTTACGACTTATTTTAGGAGTATTTACTCTTTAGAAACATGGTTAAATTTCATTTTCCCCTAGAAATCTTCACAATCCACATTTCACCGTTTTGTTATTATAAATCGTTTCGCTTAACAAGTATTACAGTAAATCCTTTAGTTTTAATAGTAGTATAACTTCAAACTTTTCAGATGATATGTGATGTTTATTTAACGATCAAGATACAGATGAACTGTTTATGTCTACCTTATTTAACAATAAACATTATACTCATAGCAATCAGTTTCTTTTATATAACAATACGCTAGTAAAAATGGTCATGGGATAGCAAGTTTAACAATAAAATTACGTAGACAGCTGTTAATATTAGTATTAATAATATTTATTTTAATTCCTTATCCATTTACATACCATCATGTCGTACTTTATAGCAAACCCAACGATAAATAATTTCACTTGAATGATCATAGTAAAGGTATTGTATATGAACTTATTTCTGAAATTTATGAAAACCCAGTTTCACTAATGGATCAGTTTTTTGCTTTTGAAAGTGAGTTTTACAAACTCGGTATACCTGCTAGTTACTAATTTAATGTTCCAGAAACTACTCTGTGTAACGACATTTAAATAAAAACAAATTATTTAAGAGTTAATTGCTGAATATATGGTTTTTCTGATGCTTTACAAAATTTCCAGTCTGATGTATATCAAACTCAATTTTTAAACCTCAATGATATTATTTGCAAAGCTTAGAGAAGCATTTTCAAGACAGTAGAACGTTTCATTCATCTATAAGACATACGATGAAGACTTAAGTTAACGGTAATAATATAACTCAAATTAACTTCAAACTGATTAATGTCCTTAGTAAAGTTCAGGAAAGCTTCTAACTCCATGTGCTTTCTTTCATCTTTCTTATGATGGAGAAAATAAATAAATAACTTTTAATTTCAATGAAAATCTTTGAAAGTTTCTTAGTTCTGAGTTTGCTCGTGAAAACAAGTAATTTCTAACTTTTGTGGAAAAAAAATCATAAAGTTTATGTCTTACTGTATGACCACTTTTTAACATGTTGAATTTCAAAAGACCAGAAAGGTTGTATTTAGTAAGTTCGCATATTTCAAACCACATGTTTGTTACTATACAATGGTTTAATAAGAACTAATAATAGAATTTCCAAATATAGTATTATCATTTAAGTATGTTCGTACCATAGTAACAAGCATAAATGTATTAGACGAATGTTAGTAGACCATTGGTCATTTTAGATATAATCATTCCAGACATCTTAGTTGTTATAGTCACTAAAAATTAACAAACCTATGTATCAAACTGTTATAGATCTACTTCTTTTTTATTACTTATTCACCACTAACATCTAACTGTATTATTATGGATGATTATATTGTTGAACAAAATTAAATAGCTACAATTCAACGCTAGCTAAATAAAATGTGTGACTCCGAAGTTATATTGAGAGCTTTATTTAAAGTTTAATAAAATATCGTCGTTTGTAATCATATTGTCAACCTAATTTTTACTATTCAGTGGTATATATCATATATATAAATTCACTTGGTATTGTATACTTGAAACTTTCAACTGATTATTAGGACTGCAATTGATCAGTCTCTTATTAGAATATGCGCATCTTTTGCGGATTGCCTCGATACTGACTTAATTTACAGGCATTATAAGCAAAGATGGATAGTGTCTTACAGTGGAATTCAGGACGCGTGTTTCGTCCTATTTTGGGACTCAGCTGGATTTACCTGTATCAAAGAGTTTATGTTCACTCTGGAACTCGAAACCAGTACCGTTTACTTTAAAGGACATCGCGTTAACCACTTATCTACTGAGTCCTTTCTTATATATATATATATATATATATATATATATATATATATATATATATATATAGAATATTTTAACGCCCTTAATAAACTGAATCAATTTTAGATATTCATATTTATTTTAATACATTTATAATTATACGACACTTACCGATTTTTCACTAAATAAATTGAAGATGTTTTTGGCATAATAATCATTTGCGAAAAATTATTATTATCATTGTCTTTGAATTTTATTCCAATATTTTTTTGAATTAAATCTAAAATTAATAATTATAAAGGATACTTTAATAAATAAATAAATAATTTGATAAAAATGTATATTTATATACAATGGAAACAGTATACTAGTATAGGGGATGTGGAGATTATTAAGTTTTTGATTGAGATCATGAGCCGGTTGATCTTAGACCACCTATGGAAACCTGGAAGCATTGGACAGCCGCTTCGTCCTATTGTGGGACTCCTCAGCGGTGTGCATCCTAGATCATGCGAGCGTGATTCGAACCCAGGGCCTTCGGTCTCGCGGGCGAACTTTTAACCTACTGGGCCACTGAGCCGGCATCCAATGGTGATAGTGTCTAACATCAACCAATCCACGAAATTGCGCGACCAACTTCCATTGTACTGAGGTAGATACCTGTCTCTACCCGATATGGATTAGCTCCACTGGTCACGGCTTCTCACTAGAACTCCGAGAATTCCCTCACGAAGCTAGTCACTAGTGAGTACATGTTAATTGCTAGTATAGGGGTTGTGGAGATTATTAAGTTTTTGATTGAGATCATGAAATAGTATGGATTACATATCAGAGGAAAACTGTGTAAAGTTATTTAAGTTGCTGGGTTTAATCAGTTTATTTACTAATTAAAAAAATAAATATATTGATTAATATAATTTATCATTGCAAATCACTAATCAGCCCTTGTTGTATATAATCGACATAGAAGTTGACTGAACTACTTGATTATTAAAAGAAAATTGATCATGACCTTTTAAAATGAGTTTTTTTGATAGTGAATAATAGTTGTTTTATGAAAAAATCGACTCTGAGTTTAGATGAAGAAACAAAATCAAATAAACATGTTAATCATGTAGTGTATGATTCAACATGACCGGAAGGACCAGTCAAATAGTAACGGAAATGATAAGATACAATTTGACAGTTCTTGGAGCAAGTGAAACCCATTGGATCTAAACTGGAAAGCAAAAGTTAGGTACGGAAGAGATGCTGCTGTACTCTGGTCACGAGGAAGAAAATGCTCTACACAATCACGTTGTTTTAATGTTTTCCAAAGATGCACGTAAAGCACTTATTGAATAGGAATCTTATGGATCCAGGATCATCCAGCATCATTCAAATAAAAAATGAAAGAAATCACAATGAATATTGTCCAATATTATGCACCCTCTAATGATAGCAATGACGAAGAACAGTTCTATGAGAGGCTGCAATCAATTATAGCCTTTCTACGAGATATTAAAAAACTCAGTCAATTCAAGACAACTCTCATCAGCATTTTTCAAGCCTTACAGGATCTGCTGGGAGAAGAAAATACTATGGAAAACAACTGGGAAGGGATAAAAAAAGTACTAACTTCAACGTGTCAAGAGGTGTCGGGTCGCAACAAGCATCATCATAAGGAATGGATCTCTACAGAAACTCTGGACAAGATTCAATAAAGGAAGAACAAGAAGACAGCGATTAACAACAGCCAAACACGAGTAGAGAAAGTCAAGGCACAAGCTGAATACACAAGCAAAGAAGCAAGTAAAGAAGAGTATTAAAGCTGACAAGCAGAAATATGTGGAAGCTTCAAGAGGAGTGATATGATGGAAAAAAGTCAAATTACGATTGATTTACTCATTATGAGTTTTGCTCAAGATTACTTCCGCTTTGATTCAATATAGTGATTACTCAATGTAGTGTTTGTTTTCTTTTCTCGTATGATAATTTATTCTGTATAATATGCGAGATTCTTGTGTTCCATTGACATGAACTATGCTCAGTATGTGATTTCTTATAACGCTAAGTATTTTTCATATATGTGATTTCATCCTAATTATTAATCAAAATGGGTGTACAATCAATATATAAATGGGCATAATTTCTACTACGATCGTCGTCGTGTTTTGTGGTTAATAAATCATCACTTATACCAGTCTTTGTGTTCTTACTTTCGCATCGTGGGAATTGCAGAGGCCCCTCGTTCCGAGTATAAGTGATAAGCGTTTCCGAAATAACAAGAAAATATAAGACAGTTATGTGACACAACAAAGAAACTAGAAGGGAAATATAGTAAACCAGAGAGACTGATCAAGGAAAAAGAAGGCAAGACAATCACCGAGATTCAAGAACAGAGGAACAGATGGGTAGGATACTTCGAGGAGTTCTTGAATAGATCAGCTTCATTGAAACCACCGGACATCGAAGCAGCACCTACAGACCTTCCTGTAGATCTCACTCCACCAACGACAGAAGAAATCAGGATGGCCATCAGACAAATCAAGAGCGCGAAAGCAGCAGAACCTGACAATGTGCCACCTAAGGCTCTAATGTCAGACACAGAAGTAACTGCACGTATACTTCACGTGCTATTCAGGAAGATTTGGGAGGAAGAACAAGTGACAACAGATTGGAAAGAAAAACACCTCATCAAGATATCAAAGAAAGGAGATCTGAGCAAATGTGAGAACTACAGAGGCATCACATTACTGTCAGTACCAGGGAACGTTTTTAACAAATTGTTGCAGAACCGGGTGAAAGACTCAGAAGACACTCAACTTCGAGATCAACGGGCTGGATTCCATAAGGTTCGGTCTTGCACAGACGGATCATCGTTGAACAATCAATCGAGTGGCACTCATCACTATATATTAACTTCATTGACCATGAGTAAGCGTTTGACAGCATGGATAGGAGAACTTCATGGAAACCTCTCCGTCAACTGAATTATGAAGATTTCAATATCTGAGGGAAAGCACGGAATACAATGGACAGCGTGGAATCAGTTAGAAGATTTGGACTTTGCAGATGACATGGCTCCTCTATCCTATACACACCAACAAATGCAGATAAAGACAGCCAGTGTAGCAGGAGCCTCTGTATCAGTAGGCCTCAACATACAGAAGAGAAAAAGAAAGATCCTCAAATATAACACAGAGAACATCAACCTAATCGCACTTGATGGAGAAACTCTGGAGGTGGTGGAATCATTCACTTATCTGGGTAGCATCGTCGATAAACGTGGAGAATCAGATGCAGACGTAAATGCGAGGATCAGCAAAGCAAAGGTAGCATTCCTACAGTTGAAGAACAAATAGAACTTGAAACAACGGTCAACCAATATCAAAGTGAGAATCTTCAATATGAACGTCAAGATAGTTCTACTGTTCGGAGGTGAAACTTCGAGAACTACCACAACCATCATCACAAAGGTACAAATATTGATAAACAATTGTCTACACAAGATGCTCCAGATCCGTCGGTCGGATACCATTACCAATGACCCGCTGTGGCAGAGAACAATATAGTTCCCACATGAAGAGGAACTTAGAAAAAGACGTTGGAGGTGGATAGGATGTACATTGAGGTAATCATCAAACTAAATCACGAGGTGTGAACTAACTTGGAATCCTGAAAGTAAACAGAAAAGAGAAAGACCAAATAACACACTGCGCCAAGAATTCAAAACAGACATCAACAGGTATCCATACCAAGTTTGAACTTGATAGTTTCAATTAAATTGAGCATCGGGTAGAGAGTTAATAATAAATATATATTTTTTTATATTCCAATGAGTAAAAAAATTGTATTTCTGACATTTTGTGACTTAACCAATTTAATGTCAGTTGTATAGACACTCCGAAGAAGCGGCTTACAATAAGTCACGAAACGTCAGAAATACAATTTTACTACTCATTGGAATATAACAAAAATATATTTATAATTAGATATAAATAGAATGAATAACAACTGGAATGAACGGTAAAGGATTGTTCAGAACTGAGTTAGATGGAGAATGTTAGTGAGAGTATTATGCTCTCCCAACAGAAGTAACAAACGTAAGTAAGTAAGTAAGGTTCAACATGACCAGTGCTTTTTTTTATAAAGGACATACATCTTACTTTGTATACGAATTACAAACTTTCACTTGGCTGAAAATATTTCTAATGAGACATTTTCTAACAGATCTACTGTTTACTGTTGTTTGTTTTCTTCATACATATCTTTTTATTACAGTTTATTTCTTATAAATATACATAGCATAATGGACCACCTGTATTCTTAAGAAAAATAATAAATAATTTTTCACAGTTTAATGACTTCTTTACATATGAAGTTTCAGTTGTTTTTTCTTTCTTTATTTGTTTATTTATTTATAGGGATTTGCATACTCTCCCATCATGTCATAAAAATAGATTGTTTTTGTTTGTTTGTTTGTTTTTCTAAAGCTCGAACTATCTATTCTATTTCAATTCCTGATCATATAAACTGTTAATTATATTATTGTCACCTTAAATGAACATATTGTTTTACCTGAAAGATGGATAACAATATTTTATCAATATATAAAATTTATATTCTACCAAAAATGGCGCTAAATAAAATGGTTTTTTTTAAATTTACAATTTTATTTTTTGTTTTATATTTTTACACTTGTGTGTTTATGTTAAATTGAATTTTGTAAATTGAACTTGGATTATCATAAACTGGATATTTGTTGTTAGAAAAATAAACAAATAAACAAGTTTTGAATATAAATGACCAGAAAAGAGAACACTGCCGTTACTGAAAATGTATTAACGAAACGTTGAATTCTATTTATGATTATCAAAAAAAGAGAAAAAAATCGTCATGAACTAAAGTACTATGAAACGTTTTCTTTTCTCAAATGATTGTTTGTTTTTTAAAAATAGGGTTATTTAGAATAAACCTATAAAGAGAATGATTCGGTAGTGTCACATTTTAGCTACATTCATCTCTGAGTATAAAAAAACCATTATCAGGTATATCATTAAGTCTAAATGCTTATGGTTGTTTTGTTTTAATTCCAGATGACGTTAACTCTGTTAAATTTACTTCGTGGTTATATCTCAAGTTAGATTCGATGTTATCAAATTATGAGATGAAAAGTTTGTTATTCAATATCAACGGCATACGGTGGCGCAATTTCGTGGATTAGTTGAAGTTAGACATTAACACCGTTGGATGCCGGCCGGCTCAGTGGTCTAGTTGGTTAAGCGCCTGGCGCGAGAC